TTCCACCACCAATTTCATAAATAATTTAATTTAATATTAATGTAATATTAATAGATTATTTGTTTTAATAATATTTGAATATTTTGAGATTTCTTGTAATTTTTTTATTATCACATGATAGAATATGAAAATACATTTGATAAAAGGTAAAAGGTCTTTACAAAAACATACCACATATTCCTTAGACCAAAATAAGTTGATTTAGGTAAAATTACCTTAGTACAAAGTTGCTTCGTTTGGACTCCAGAGGGCCTTGAAGTTACAATTTTTAAATCGTTTTTCCCATATAAATTTAAAACGGCATATGCGATTTTGCTGAAATTTGGTATATTGGTAGAGTTTTATGTGGCAAAAAAAGGTATTAAAAGTTTGTCCGATAATAATGCATAGACGTAGAACTTGATTTTTTAAATAATTGCACCTTTAAAAATTCTACGCCAATAGAAGAAAAGGAGTTTGAGTACGAAATTCAGATTGCGCAACTCATTTGCTTTAAAAAAGGTACTCCTGATAAGACTCGATTACTCTCATGGTTTTCGCTAAATTTCTGTTTTAATAATTTAGAGTGTATAGGTTTCACAAAAATATTTATTTACAACATAATCAAAATAGAGATTTTACATAAATTGTATAAAATGTTCACCATTTTCACGCATACAAAGATTTATACGTCGAAGAAAATTAAAATGTATCCTTTCCATAACTTCTTCATCACCTCTAAAATTGTTTATTGCATCTTGAATACGTTGCCAGAGTTATTCCTTATTTTCTACAGGTTCCCTGTAAACTGTGGATTTCAGATGTCCCCATAAAAAGTAATCCATCGGTGTTAGGTCTGGGGAACGTGGTGGCCAGTTTACAGGTGCGTCATTACCTCTGCACAAATGGATATGTGTGGATATTGTTCATTTAAGTGGTTTCTAACGTTTAAAGAAAAATGTGGTGGAGCTCCATCTTGCATAAACCACATATCTCTCCGACGTTGGAGAGGTAAATTTTCTAACATTTCTGGAAACGTATTTTGTAGAAAATCCAAATAATTTTCTCCAGTTAATCTTCGTGGAAGTATGACAGGACCAACAATGAAATTACCAATTATTCCAGCCCACACATTAATTTTGAACTCGTGCTGAAAATGGTTTACCTTTATTGCATGCGGATTTTCAACGGCATGAACATGTTCATTATGGGTATTAGTTATACTTTTTCTTGTAAAACCCGCTTCATCGGTAAAGAGAACCTTCTTGACAAAGTTTGGATCTCTTTCTCTTTGCATATTAACAAATCGACAAAAACCCAAACGAATTTGAGGATCATGGACTAATAATTCTTGTACTGGCTTCTTATGGTATGGATATTTTATATTGTTATTATTCAGTTTATAATTTAATATGTATTATTTAATTAATTTAATTAGATTTTATGAACTTATACATGTCAAGCTATAATAATGTATTAAAAAAAAAAAAAATGATTTAAAAAAAAAATGATTTCAAAAAAAAAGTTAGTAATTCGGCAGCCCATGCGCAACCACATGGTCATAAATGGGCAGCAAATACTTTTAATGTATAAGGTACCTGTCAATTACTCTAATAATTTAAAATTATTTAAATGTACCTACAAATATGATGTAATCAAAAAAACAAAAATGCTGAATAAAGATTATTATTATTATTATTATTATTATATTATTATTATTATTATTATTATATAGCAATTGTTCTCCAAGCACTTTATGAACGACATCTTTACTTACTCCTAGTTCCCTTCCAATTCGTCTGGTGCTTAATTCTGGATCTTCTTCAACACGTTCTAAAATGTGTTCTTCAACTTCAGGAATCCTTACAAAACGTTCTATTCCATTATCAACAGTGTTGAGAGCAAAGAAACCGGTCTCCCGAAGACGTCTCTCAACAGCAGCAAAAGTTGGGTGGCTAGGTACACGACGATTTGGAAACCTTTCAGAGTACACCCTAACACTCTCTCGAGCATTTCCTTCACAAAATCCTAATGTCAGTAACATATCGGTATATTGCATTGGTATATTGTACAGCCATATTAATAAACCACGCATTTGTTTTTTTAATTATTAAGTCAGATAGAACACTTTCAATCGTTAACAAGAGAGTAGGTGTTAAAACTTGACAATATTTTTATTTAGATGAAACTATGGAAACCAACAATAAATGTTTTTGTATACGTATTGCAGGCAAATAATTAATATTCCTCAAAAAATCGTACATGGCAAGAATCGAGTATTTTTGTTAAAAGTCTCGATTAGAGGTGTTGAAGAAGATATGAAAAAAGTACATTTTTATGTTTTTCATCGTATAAAATTTTGTCCGATAATAATACATAGGCGTAGAACTTGATTTTTTAAATAATTGCACCTTTAAAAATTCTACGCCAATGGCAGAAAAGGGGTTTCAGTATGAAATTTGGATTGGGTACTAATTTACTACAAAAAAATACCCTTGATAACACTCGATTTACTTTCATGGTTTTGACAAAGTTTGTATTTTAATAATTATTGTTTATTTTCTAAAATTACTAAAATGCAAATTTCGTCAAAACCGTGAGAGTAATCGAGTCTTATCAAGAGTGCCTTTTTTAAAGTAAATGAGTTGCACAATCAAAATTTCATACTCAAACTTCTTTTCTTCCTTTGGCGTAGAATTTTTAAAGGTGCAATTATAAAAATCAAATTCTACGCCTATATATTATTATCGGACAAAATTTTAATACCATTTTTTTTGCCACATAAAACTCTACCAATATACCAAATTTCAGCAAAATCGCATATGCCGTTTTAAATTTACATGGGAAAAACGATTTAAAAATTGTGACTTCAAGGCCCTCTGGAGCCCAAACGAAGCAACTTTGTACTAAGGTAATTTTACTTAAATCGACTTATTTTGGTCTAAGGAATATGTGCTATGTTTTTGTAAATACCTTTTACAGACACCCTGTATGAATGGCTCATACTGTGTTTCTATTTCTAAAAATAAAGGAGATTATGGGGCCTAAAATTAGACCAAGAGTATCGTAAAAGGGGATCTAAGAAAAGAAACATAAGGTAGACCAAGGGACGTGGTAAATGCAAACCAAAGGAGACAAAGACTTGGCAAACTCAACAACATAGTGTGGTTAGTACATAGGAGCCGCGAGCCGGCCCTATTCTAGGCCAGGAGTGTCAGAAGTCCGCCCTGAAAATTGTAGAGCAAAAATTTAAGAAAACGTCAGTCTTTATCCCCATCGGAGTGCTCCAGTTTCAACCGGCTACTACGAGAAAATATAAGTGTCATTCGATACTGTGACCGTTTTTACCAAAACGTTTAAATACTTGTCAGTCAAAGCCATCTGTTTTTTTTTGTTATGTTAAGTAGAGTCATTTTACAGTCATTTTATTTTAAAATTTTACTGTGTATTACTTTCAACTGGCAAGCTCATGGCACAATTCCTATTTATTTGACAGCTAAATATGTGAAGTCTAAGAGCATTTTTTTATCTTTCTTTTAATCTTTTTTACTAAAAATAGTGCCTTTAACTTGTTGGTTAAATTATAGTCAGATATCACCTTAGGTATTTTACAACGTTAGATGGGCCGAACAGGGTTGACGTCCCAGCTAGTAACAACGTAATAGCTTACCATCTCTATCAGAGTTGGGTAGTATTCGAATACCCGGTATTCTGAATCTTATTCAGAATACATTTGGCTGGTATTCGAATACTATTCGAATACATTTGTGTTTTCTGTATTCGGTATTCGACTGAATACTTTTTCAGTCAGTACTCGGTATTTTGGATTCAGAATACCATTTTTGAATCCTAGTATTCGAATACCCACTTTGTATTCGAATCCCGGTATTCGAATCCTGTTTTCGAATACTGTTTGATTATTTCTATGAATATTGCGATCTTTTTGAAATGTTGGTTTTGTTGAAGGCAAACGGGATAGGAAATGCTTTTTGATTGATGTTTTCTTTCTGATATCCAAGTACTAGTGCGTTGTTATATTTTATTTAAAACAAAAAGAATTTATTTTAAGTTATTTATTGTTTAAGATTATTTTTCAAGAATAGCTTCTTTTGCTAAGCAATTACCTTATTGTGTTCCAATCTCCAATGAATGTACCAAAGAAACTATTTTAAGTTTTATTTATTATACAGAGTGTCCCACGAGATACGCCTCGGACCATAACTCCATAACGGTGCAATTTTCAAAAATTTTGCAAGTGTCCTTTTTTATGTATATTCAAAAAAGCCATCTTTTAAAATTAGTTTTCGAAAATTGCACCGTTATGGAGTTATGGTCCGAGGCGTATCTCGTGGGACACTCTGTATAAGTAAGTAGCTTGTAGGGTATAGGTTATAGGTAATGGGAATTGTTTATTTTGTATTAAACAATAAGTTTGTGTTTTTATCTGACGGTGTACCGAAGAATTTTATTTTAACTTTTTCATTATTTTATCGTTATTTATAATTTTTATTAAGACTTTAAGAAATAAAAATCAACAAATGTTTTTTATTAAACAGTTATTTTATTTAACCTCACTGTGACACTGTGTATCAAAAAATGATATTTCAAGTTTTATTTAACATAGATTTTTAATTCTTTGTATATTTTTATAAATTAACTATATAAATAATAATCAAGCTTTATGTGCGCACATATTATTAATTGTAGTTGGAATATTCATAAAGTATTCATATGTAAATGAATCCAGGTATTCGAATACAGCGATATTCAAATCCTTTTTTTTTCTTTGTATTCGAATATTGATTATTCGAATACAATTTAGAATACAGTATTCAAGATTCGTATTCGAATACCGGATTTCAGTATTCGACCCAACTCTGATCTCTATTATACAATTTATTTAAAAACCAATTTTGTTTATGGAAGTCCGTGCCAATGTAAGAAAACATAATGGATCTGATAAGATGTTGAGGAGACAAATTTTTAATCATAAATAATTTTTAACAGGCAAAATTTCTTACCTTTACTAGCTCCGTCAGGTCCTCTAAGAATGGTACACTCCTCTATTGTACCGAAAGGTGCGAATAACTGTCGAACATCTTCTTCAGTTTGTTGCTTACTGAGCATACCCACGAACAGCTTTCGATCTGTGATTAGAAAAAAGAAAATTAAAACTTGAAATAAACTTAAATCGTTAAAGTTACACTTAATAGATTTACACTAAGCATTGGCACATATTATTTTAATATATTTTTTAAATTATTGATTAATTTCGTATCCAAGTACCTCTACTGTTTTTTAAATAGATTTCTAATATCAAAAAATGGTGGATGTATAAGCGCATCCACCATTAAATAGAGTTGGTTTTATTTAGTAGCATCTTCAACTATTATTAATAAAAATTAAAAATAAGTAGCAGTAAATTACGATATTAATACTTGTTGCTTTTAAAATAAAAAGTAGTATCTACTTAATATGATAAAACCCTTTCCAATCAAAAAACAAATACATCTCTTATAAATAAAATAAATAAAGAATTCTTGTTAATAAACACCTTTTAATATTCAACTCTCTGAATAAAAAAGAACCACATAATTTAGGATTTATAACCACTAAATCCCACAACAATATCTGAACTTCTATGAAGAGTTTAAATAGTATTAATATTAGGTTCTTTGAAAATTATATGGAACTGATTTTTTTAAATCTTGTACATAAAAGTATAATCGTAATATGGACAAAAATTTACTTTGATATGTCTAGAATAAGAGGAATAAAGGATTCTAACACATGTTATATATATGGCAGATTCCATTAAGAGGAACAAAATTAAAAAAAAAGGCCCTTATGAGTTCAAAAAAGATTTAAAGTAAGTTTTATCATTTTTATCATTTCAAGCAATTAATGTTAAATCCATTTTTTGTGGCAAACATTACAGTAGTTCCACTAGTAGAAAAATATCCCAAATTAATTAGTGCACTATTTAAGGTATCAGTGGTAATTTTATTATAAACAACTAATTTTCTCTCTACTGTTTTTACCAAGAAACTCTATTTAAAAAAAAGTGCGTACTACTTACTTTGTAATAGGACTATTCTTCTAAAATTATTATTTCGTTTATTTAATTTTCAGCTAAGTGTAAATCATTTTTGACAATATCTATACGAAATTAATGGTGCATGTCCACTTAATATCCGCTAAAATTTGACACTCAAGGTACGAGCTCTGGAGCTAGCAAGGTGTTGCAAAAGTTTTGGAAATTCGTTTGCCCTAACTATAAACACACTTTAATGTATCTTTAGTCTAAATTAGTAAATTATATTAAAGAAACATTTTTAAATTTACTTGACAATTATATTGTAATAAATTAATAATTAACTCTTTTACAATTTACAATTTTCACTATTTTACTGAAATATTTTCAAACAAAAAAACAATACTAAATCATGAATTTATTATCTAACTAATTTTAAATTAACTTTAGTGTATTTAGTGTATCTCAAGTTCTAAAACTTTTGCGTTTAAGGAGCTAACAGTGTTGAGGATAGGACAAGGAAAACACAGAAAACAAAGGATTAGAAATATAGATAAAGTAGTTTGTTATAGAAAATCAGAGATGTCAGTAATTACAAGATGTAGTGTAAATATGTTATGTTATAAGAATATAACATATTCCTAACATTTATCTAGTAACTTATTACCAGATTTCCAAATTGATGGTTTTAAGATGTAATATAACAAAAAATGTTAATCCTTTCTTTAATCATAAATTAATTATACAAGAATTTAATAATAAACAAAATATAATTATGTATGTATGCGTCACTACTTCTGACTAAAGTTTTTTATTTATTTATTAATGAAAATTACTTAGTTTACTATTTTGAAATTCGGTGGTATCTAATATAAGGTCACCTATTTCTAGTGTTTATAATCAGATTTAATTGTAATTTTGAAAATATTATCAAAAATATATTTCTTTCATTTAGGAAATAATACACAATTTGGCAACGATTTGCTGTATCTGTTGACTAAGACAAATTTATTTTATTAGGTACCTCTATTTGTCCCATAAAGATTATAAAATTTGATGCTGCAGTTGAAAAATATATTTTTTTTTTCTAATTTAAAGAAATTTTCAAGATCCTCACCTTCAAAGTGAAAGAGATAAATAAAATTTGTTATCAATTATTTCATTATACATATCCCCAAATAATATACAAAAACGTATTGATATAATATTTAAAACCAAAAAAGATAGTAATATAAAAGACTGGAAATATTGGTCACACTAAACATAGAAAGAATGAGACGAGTACATTAATGTTTAAAAACTTACAGAACCATAATAGTCTCAGTAAAAATGTATTATGAATTTAACATTCAATAGTTAAAAATCAGGTACATTTTCATCTCATAAAGAAACATTGAACAAAATAAATATAACTTCAAAAATTAAGACTGACATTGTTATAATTGGTTATTGTTAATTAACAATATAGATAGAATTAATCATTTTAATCAGAATCTGAGTTACCTATATTTATGTATTTTTTTTACATGTATGTATTGTATATAGTTGAGTAATCATTATATACTAATTTTTATTACTTCATATTACAAAAAAAAAGTTTAATACTTTATCTTATTACATCAGTTATGGTTCGCTCAATAAATTATTTCGTTGGTAGTTCAAAGTCAATCCGTACTTATTAAAATCTCAGTTGCGTCTCAACACCCATTTTTTTTAGTAAAAGGCCAATAAAAGTATCATGACGTGATTTTGTTGCTGCCTAATACGGATATGGGTAGTAATTTGTCATTAATATACCTTTTTGTTTTCCAAAACAATCAGGTTTCTTTTCTAATAACAGGTAAGTTTTGTCTAGGCAACCCGGTATACAGTTGTGTATTTTGTGCTGCAGTCCTCATGGAATCTAATTTTCGTATTAAACAGTTTCTGAACACGTGTCAATAATGTCAATAGTGATTGTCAATATTAGCCGGCAATGGAGTTTTTTGGTCAAAATTCTGTTATAAAGAACGAGTAGGGGTTTTTAAGGTAGGAAATGGAGTGATATAGTGGAGTTTCACTGTGAATTGGTAAGAAATTATACAGTAAATCCATTTTATTTTCTTGGAGAATTTGTGTTCGAGCTGTAAAGCTGCATATTTTCTTGGTAGATCTCCAAATTTGTACCTAAGGAGAGGATTAATTTTACTACACGCCGTGATCGTAGTTGATATAAGGCCCCAATGTTAGTCAATGCAGCCTTGTGCAGGAAGTTATTCCGTTGCAAAAATATAATGACGCCTTTTTAAGAACTTTTAATTAACGAACACACCACTTCTGACTACTGCTAACTACGGAAAATACTCCACTTGCGGCGAGGCCAATTGTGGACCATCTCGTAACATATTATTCGTTGGCTAGTATTATTTAGATAAAACTGGCGAATTTTATGTTACACCTTTCTATTTCTTGTATGAATCATAGCGTATAGTCACGTCTATTTATCTATCTTCAAATCCTCGATCTATAGTGGTTTCAGACCCAATGCCTTCCTCCCGACCTAATTCACAAATTAGTCAATAGTTCCCAACCGAACTATGTTTTCGAATATTTGTTTTATATGGATCATGACCTCAAACCCTAAAACATAGCACTTTGACCCTAAATATTACTTTACTTATTACTTTCTTAGTTCTCTTCTATTCTTCATAACCATATACATTCTCTTGTCGTTTGACTTAACCTGTAACTAATATACATATATTGTTGACGAAATGGTTAAAGTGATTTATTCTATCTGTATGTTTAGATTACATCAACCCAAGTTTTTGTAGAGGTATTGTAGCGACATGCACTACATATCTTTATCATTTTTATTACGTCATACGAATTAAATTGTTGTCATCATTTAGACAACCTTTCGTGGCAGTTCTAGCGAGACAAAAGGTTGAACTCATTGAGAGGGAAACAAGAATTGTTTATTTATAATTATGACTTTTGTTTTTTTTTGATAATTTATATACATGTCATGACATCGAGTTTTGTTATACAAAATTATACTTTTATAAGTATATTTTTATTTATTGATAGGATACAATTATTACGAAGAGTATTATTATTAACATTTAAAAGATCCCACAGGTATTTACCTGAAAAAGTTTACTATTTTATTCTTAAGTATTAGATCATAAGTTCGTAATACCTTTTTAGATAGACTATGATGATAGATTTGCAAAGCCGAAGGTGATCATTCTATATTTAACAAAATGTATCCTCGTTCTTGAGAAAAGAAAATAAAATAATAAAAATAGTGTTTGCCAAATTCAAAAGCGCTATATGGAATTCCTTAGCTTTATTTGTATAGTTAATATGTTTCTGAGATACTTCTTTGCATAGCCACGTTTGTGATATGATTTGGTTTACCTAAATACTATGCGACAGATTGCTTGTAGGTTAATACTTAACCCATTTATTCTCTCTTCTACCAAAGTTGTAGTTCTTGTAGTTCTAAGTAAGATTTGATTGACTAGAACATGTTCGTCTTCTATCTTTGTTTACGACTTTTTATTGATTGGTACTATCAACCCATTTGTTATTGTCACATTCAGTGCCAGAATAATTCATGTTGAACAATTGGGTCAGAGTACCACTAGAAAATGATAGAGATATAAACAAAGGGGTAGTCGATTTGTTTGGAATTTATTATGTATTATTGTGGTTATTTTAGCCTAATTTCTTTGTGTAATGTAGTGAGAATTATTGAGAAAAAGTACAATTATGGGCATTGTTTGTAATAAAAAATAACTAAAAGTCAATTCAATAACTTTTCACAGATACATTAATAGTATTTAAGCTTTCTTACAGAAAATGCTGCCGGTTTTTTCCATTTATGGTGTTTAACGTTTTTGAATTATAATTTTTTAATATGTTTAGAGTTCCTAGAAATTGCAAAATATGAAAATATGAACAATATTTTGAAGTTTTTAAAAAACATGAATTTGAAGAAGATGTATAAATATTACGTCTATTTTTTTAGTAATGAAGATGACTCTAAAGGTATATTTTAATAACAGAATACATAAGTTATGCCGCACGTTTCATGATAATATAAATAAAGTGAAAAATAAGTGCCCT